ACAGCTATTTGAAGGAGACACTTATTTCAAAATGATGTTTATTTAAAATAGAGAGAACTGTTTGAAAGAGACAATTATTTAAAGGAGATAGTTATATAAAGGAGACAGTTGCTTAAAGGAGAAAGTTGCTTAAAGGAGACATTTAGTTGAAGGAGACATTTATTTGAAGGAGACATTTATTTGAAGGAGACATTTATTTGAAGGAGACATTTATTTGAAGGGGACATTTACTTGGAGACATTTATTTGAAGGAGACATTTATTTGAAGGAGATTAGAATTGTTAAGAGACAGCAATTAAGAGAAGAGGAAGAAGACACTCCGTCAAGGAGACACTTTCTTGGGGAGACAGTTTTAAAGGAGACAGTTTTATAAGTTAATCTGTCAAGGAGACATTTTCTTAAGGAGACAATTTGGCAATTTGTTAAGGAGACAATTTGTTAAGGAGACAATTTGTTAAGGAGACAGTTTGTTAAGGAGACAGTTTGTTTAAGAGACACTTTATTTAGAAGACACTCTATTAAAGAGACACTTTACTTAGGAGATACTTTATTAAAGAGACAGTTAATAGGAAGATATTTTATTAAAAAGACAGTTAACAGGAAGATATTTAATTAAGTAGACACCTTATTAAAGAGACACTTTATTAAGAAACACTTTAACAAGGAGACACTTCAATAAGGAGACACTTTAATAAGGAGACCGTCCGTTAAGGAGACACTCGCCGAGGAGACAGCTTTTAAAGGAGACACAAATTAAGAGCCGCATTATAAAGGAGACACTTCATCAAAGTCCCTTTTTAAGGAGACAGTCGTTGAAGGAGACACCCAATCAAAAGCCACACAACTGAGGAGACACTTAGTTAAAAGCCACTTTACGGAGAGACAGTTTTTAAAGGAGACACTTATTTGAAAGGAGACACTTATTTAGCAGCCACTTTTTAAAGGAGACACTTATTTAAGAGCCACTTTGTAAGGGAGACATTCAATTAAGATCCACTTCAGAAAGGAGACAGTTTTTAAAGGAGACACTTAATGAAACTTAAGAAAGGAGACAGTTTTTAAAGGAGACACTTAATTGGAAGCCACTTTAGAAAGGAGACACTAGGCCACGGAGTCCCTTTGAAGGAGACAGTTCTTCAAGAAGCCCCTCACTAGAAAGGAGACAGTTAATTAAAGGCCACTTCATCGAGGAGACAGCCTCAAAAGGAGACACTTAGTAGAAAGGCACTTTGTGAAGGAGACAGTCTCAAAAGGAGACACTAAATAAGAAGCCGCGCAACAAAGGAGACCCTTAGTCGAAGGCCACTTCAACGGGGAGACAAAACATAACGAGCCCCTTGCAACAAGCCACGCCAAAAGGAGACACTTCAGCTAAACTGTCTCCTCAGAGAGCACCCCAAAGGAGACGCTAAAATTGAACGGTCTCCTTTGAAAAACCCAAAGGAGACCCTAAAAATGAACTGTCTCCTTTCGACAAGCCCAAAGGAGACCCGAAATTGAACTGTCTCCTCCAGAGCACCCCAAAGGAGACCCCAGATTGAACTATCTCCCGCAGAACACCCCAAAGGAGACCCCAGATTGAACCATCTCCCGCAGAACACCCTAAAGGAGACAGCAAGCGAAGTGTCTCCTTGCCTCTTGTCGAAGGGCTGGCACTTGAGGTGGAGAATGTTGAAGGCGATGGCGAGGGCCGTGGCAGCAGCAACGGTGGCGGAGGGGAGACTCTTGGAGACGAAAAACGCGGTGGAGGAGACAACCAAAACTGCGAGTTTCCTCGCGAAAACAACTGTCTCCCAGAACCAAAACTGGCGCACAAAGCCGTTGTGGAGAAAGCCGAACTTGAGGCGAGTTTGTTTGCTGTTGAGGTTTTTTCTGTTGACAAAAAGAACCAAAAAGGCCCCCAAAGGGATGCCCACGCTCCATAACAACAACCCCACCACTCCGAGGAGAAAAAAGGGCAAGTAGGGACTGCGAGGAGACACTTGGCACTGCATGCTCATGGCGGCGGCCAGGAAGAACTTGGTCCCCCCCTGGGTGTCTCCAAACTCGATCCCCGTGCACTTCAAAAGAGACAGCATGTTGCGGGAAGTGGAAGTGTAAATGAAAAACCAAATGGTGACAAAGACGGGAGTCATGTCTTCGAGGAACTTGGAAAGGCGTCTCCAAAGTGTCTCCTCGGGAAGAGACACGTAGCGGAACATCAGGAAGAGACGGTCCTCCTCGAGCTTCTCGCGGAGCTGCTGCGAAAGAGACAGCAGCTGGAACTGCTGCGTCTGCTGCAGCAGCAGCAGCTTGCGCTGCGTCTCGCTGCGCTGCTGCTGCTGCAGGCGGGAGACCAGCAGGTACAGCAGCAGCGTTGCTGCTGCGGGCAGCGCGAGCGGCAGCAGCAAGTAAAACAACATGGAGTAGAAATATGTCTCCGAGTAGGAGAGACTGAAGAGACTGCGGAGGAGACAGTCGATGGACAGCCAGCGCGACTTCTGGGAGACACTCATTTGCTGCTGCACGTCCGTCTGCAGCCGCAAAAACCACGAGGGGACTCCAAGTGTCTCCAAATCAATTACGCAAAAGACCCACATGCAAGTCACGAAGTTGGAAGCTATTTTGATCACAATGGAGTGGATGGACCTCCGGTTGAAGCCCGCGGAGACATTCAAGTAGGCCATCACGATGTTGAAGAGCAGCAGCCCCAGGTAGTAGAGAAAAAGGAGACACCCGTTTAGAGACACTTGGGGACAGACAGTGCACAGCTCTTCGCTCTCGAAGTTGTTCGAAAAGCCCTCTTTGCACTCGCTGCACAAAAAGTCCCCCATTGTCTCCGAACAAGTCCCTCCGTCTCTGCATGCGCCGGAGACAGGGCACTTCACGAACA